CCCGGTCATCCCCACGCCAGCCCTGGCCTCGCCGGTGGCTCCGCCGGTTCCCTCGCCCACCAAGGTAAGGGGCGGCTGCGGTGGAGGGCGGTGGGGCAGGAGGAGGAACGCAGAGACCAACACGAGGGCTGGAGCAGCCCCAAAACCCACCCTGCTGCATAGCAGCTCTGCTACGGGGACAGCTGAGAGAGCTGGGGCTGTTCAGCCTGGAGAAGAGAAGGCTCCAGGGGGACCTTATAGCGACCTTCCAGGACCTGAAGGGGCTACAGGAAAGATGGGGACGGACTTTTTATCATGGAATGTAGCGATGGGATGAGGGGTGATGGTTTTAGACTGGAAGAGGGCAGATTTAGGGTAGATTTAGGAGGGCAGAAATTGTTGAGTGTGAGGGTGGTGAGGCCCTGGCCCAGGGTGTCCAGAGAAGCTGTGGGTGCCCCCTCCCTGGCAGGGCCCAAGGCCAGGTTGGCCGGGGCTTGGAGCAGCCTGGGCTGGTGGAGGTGTCCCTGCCCATGGGGGTTGGACTGGGGGGTTTTGGGGTCCCTTCAACCCAAACCAGGCTGTGATGCTGCGAAACCCAGGGCAGGACCCGAGTGTGGTCAATCCAAGGGTAAATCACGGGGAGATGGGATGGGGCGGTCGCTCAGCGCTGGATGCAGAGGTCGTGGCTGCCCCATCGCTGATGGGTGGGGTCTCCTGCGTAAACCTCAGGGCACTACAAGGTGAATATCCTAAGGGTGCACAGTATCATCATGCTCCCCCTTTGCCGTGTGCTGGGTCCCTCCGTGACCAGCCTGGAGCAGCCGTGGCACTCGAGTTCCCCCACATTTCTACGTGTTTGGGGTTTTCCCTTTCCACATCCATTTTGGGTGCGTTAACACACTCGTTCTGTGGAGGAAAGGGGTTTTTTTTGTCTTGCCCTGTGCTCCGTGCGGGGGTCCCCATCCCTGCAGTGTTTAAGAGCCGTGGTGCAGCGGCTGCAGCATTGGTTGGACTCAATGACCAAAAACGCCTTTTCCAGCCCAAATTCCCGGGTGCACCCTGAGCAGAAGGGGGAATCCAGGGGTGCTGCTCATCAAAGTGCACCGGGAGGGGGTTGCTGCAGCGTGGGCCTGGCCCTGACCACAGTGGGTTGGGTTTTCTTGTAGTTTCAGTCTTAATTTTAAAGGATTTTGGCATCCCTGGATCTGAGCAAAGTCAGAATCGAGGTGCTCGGGTCCTTTTGCCAGCTGAAAGGTTCCTGTTGCTGTGTCAGGATCATTTGTCACACGTTGTACCTGCTAAAACCCAGCAGATTTAATGGCAGATGGGTGCCGCAGGGCGATGCCGAAACGCAGGGTAGCCCAGCGACACGTGCGGGGTCTCTGCTGACCCCCGCGTCGGTGCCGCAGGAGGAGGAGAACCTGCGCGCCCAGGTGCGGGACCTGGAGGAGAAGCTGGAGACGCTGAAGATCAAGCGGAACGAGGACAAGGCGAAGCTGAAGGAGCTGGAGAAGTTCAAGATCCAGCTGGAGCAGGTGCAGGAGTGGAAGAGCAAGATGCAGGAGCAGCAGGCGGACCTCCAGAAGCGCCTGAAGGAGGCCAAGAAGGTGAGCGGGCGGCCCCAGCCCTGGGAAGGGGTGAATGTGGGGCTGATCCGGCTGCCCGAAGCGTGCGGGGCTGTCCGTTTCCTGGCTGCGGCCCCCGCCCCAGCCCCTGAAACGGCCGAGTGATGCTCCCGGGGGTGTCGGGGCTGTCCCCAAACCCCGGTGTCCCCCGCAGCTCCGGGAGCGCCGAGGTTTCGGGTGCGGAGGACGGGGATCACTGGATGCGCTGGGATCCGCTCCTGTCCCCCTGCCCCGGTGCTGCGGGTCCTGGGCGGTCCCAAAGCCTCCAGGCCTTGTGGTGGAGGGGTTTGGCTGTGAGCCCCGTGTCTCTGCCTCCCGTCACAGCCGTACACGGTGTGGTGCTGCCCAGTGCATCCCAGTCAGGCGGTGTACGGCCCATAACCCAGCAGGATTTTGGTTAAACACAGCTCTGCTGTGAGCTGCTGCTCTGTGGCACCGAGTGGTGCTCAGCACCGAGTCCCTTTGGGCACTGGGCTGCAGTCTGGGGCTGTCCATAGTGAGGGGATGGGGCTGGGGGGTCCTCAGTGTGTGTGAACACCCCATAAAATGAGGATGGGGCCGGGCTCTTTGCAGAAAGAAAGGGGCACAACCCGAAATATGGGAAATCTGGGCCAGCCATACAAGTTGCTCCCTTCCCCGTGACTTTCCTGGGCTGCGCTGGAGCGGGATCCTCTCACGGTGGCTTCCCAGGGGATCCCTGACCCCGACTGCTTACCACAGACTTTAATTGGTTAAAACCCATCTCCCCTTAGCCAAACCCGCACGTTTTGTGGGTCTGTTGCTGTTGCTGCGGGGCAGCTTTGGCCTTAACGAACCTCAGCTCGTTAGGGAGCCCCTTTCCCCTGCCCCGCCTCAGGGCGATCTGAAGCGACTGCGGATCCAGGCTGACCTTGCTCTGCCCGTCCCTGCTGAGGCTTCTCTTGCTTTTCCCTGTGATTTGATGCATCCCCATCCCCATCCCCTGCCCGCAGGTCGCTTTTCTGATGATTTTTGTGGATGGGAGAAGGGTGGAGCTGGGGCGAGGGGCGCCCCAAACCTTCCCCCTCCTCTATCAGCCCCTGTTAACGGGGCTTGGTGCCGCTGTGGGGAGCCAGGGCGGTTTGTGGAGGGCCCCCCCAGGACCCCCTGACCCCGCTGTGCTCGGCCGCAGGAAGCCAAGGACGCGCTGGAAGCCAAGGAGCGCTACATGGAGGAGATGGCCGACACGGCCGACGCCATCGAGATGGCCACGCTGGACAAGGAGATGGCAGAGGAGCGGGCCGAGTCGCTGCAGCAGGAGGTGGACTCGCTGAAGGAGAAGGTGGAGTACCTCACCATGGACCTGGAGATCCTCAAGCATGAGATCGAGGAGAAAGGTGGGCAGGGGCTGCTAGTGGGGGGCGTCTCGGGGAGCTCCCGGCTGCGGTGGGGCTGGGGGCTCTGCGCTTCCCCTTCTCCTGCGTCCCCCATCCTCCAGCAGCAGCTCAGCCTCCTGGTCCCAGGTCCCCGAGGGGGCAGCGATGGAGCTGCTGCGGTTTTGGGTCTGGGGTGGGTGCTCCTGCCCTGGGCTTGGAGCAGCTCGGCTCAGTCGCAGTGCGTGTCCGTGCCCAGGAGGGATTTGGCTGTGGGGTCCATGGGGGTTCACTGCTGCGTTTCTGCTCCCGGTCAACCCCCCAGCATCAAACCCAGTGCAGTGCCCTTGTCGGGAGGGGGCTTTTGGCACCTGGGGTTCAAGGTGAGCTTTAGAAATTACACAGCAGGGAGGAGCCGGCCACTGAACACTGGTAGTACTGGTTTAAACACTGGTAGTACTGGTAGTAAACAGTGGTAGTACTGGTTTAAATACTGGTAGTACTGGTTTAAACACTGATAGTGCTGGTTTAAACACTGGTTGTACTGGTTTAAACACTGATAGTGCTGGTATTAAACACTGGTAGTACTGGTTTAAACACTGGGAGTACTGGTAGTAAACACTGGTAGTACTGGTTTAAATACTGGTAGTGTTGATATTATAGACTGGTAGTACTCACATTAAGCACTGGTAGTACTGGTATTAAATAAACACTGGTAGTACTGGTATTAAACACTGGTAGTACTGGTTTAAATACTGGTTGTACTGGTTTAAATACTGGTTGTACTGGTATTAAACACTGATAGTACTGGTATTAAACACTGGTAGTACTGGTTTAAATACTGGTTGTACTGGTATTAAACACTGGTAGTACTGGTGTTAAACACTGGTAGTACTGGTGTTAAACACTGGTAGTACATTAAACTGGTAATACTGGTATTAAACACTTGTAGTACATTAAACACTGGTAGTACTGGTATTAAACACTGACAGTACTCACATTAAACACTTGTGAGTGTTTAACACATTAAACACCGGCAGAAGCAGCAGCTGAGCAGGCCGAGGTGTGGATGTGGTGAGGGAATGGGGACCGCAGGAGGGCTCTGCAGTGCAAATCCCTGCGCTGAGCAGCGTCTCCGCTTGGTGCTCACCGTCCCTGAGCCCTGGGGAGCGCAGCGCAGCGCCCCAGGCCGTGCTCTGACGATGTCTGTGTCTGTCCCGCTGCAGGCTCGGACGGAGCGGCCTCCAGTTACCAGGTGAAGCAGCTGGAGGAGCAGAACGCGCGGCTCAAGGAGGCTCTGGTCAGGTAGGAGACCAGGGCTGGCACCCACGGGGTCCCTCCTTGTGCTTGGCTCTCACCGCCGTTTGTGTCAGCGCCCGTCAGCACTCAACCCGTGGGCCCTGCTGCTCCCCGGGACGTGCAGCAGAGAGGGCAGAGCCTCCTGTCACTGCAGGCTGGGGGGGGGGTGAGCTGCTCCACAAAGCTGCTGTGTCTCGTTTGCTCAGCCGTGGGTTGATCCCAGCAGCCCACGCAAGGCCAGACGCCTCCTGCGCTGCTCCCACTCCAGGTTTCTGGGTCCTGGTCGCTGCCTCTCCGGCTGCCAGGGCTGGGGTCTTTGGGGTTTTTCTCCCTGGAAGCCCCCTGTGCTTTAGCCCCCAGGCTCAGGTGGGTCCATGGGGTGTCCACAGCTCCACTCCCTGTCCCAAGGGGACTGTGTGCGCGCAGAGGGCAACCTTTAATTGCAATTAACAACAGGCAGAGGAGGTGGAAGCGTCCCCTCCTGGTAGGAAGCACAGGGAAGGGCCTTGCAAGGACTCCCAGCGCAATGCAGCCCACCCAGAGCCGTTCTGGGTCTGCGCTGGGTGGTGACTGGTCTGGTTGTGCTCCCCAGGATGCGGGACCTGTCCGCCTCGGAGAAGCAGGAGCACGTGAAGCTGCAGAAGCAGATGGAGAAGAAGAACACGGAGCTGGAGTCCCTGCGCCAGCAGAGGGAGAAGCTGCAGGAGGAGGTGAAGCAGGCGGAGAAGACGGTTGACGAGCTCAAGGAGCAGGTGAGGATTCTGGGGGGAGTTTGGGGCCGTTTGGTGCCAGTTCTCACACCCCCAGCAGAGAAATGCTCTGTTTTATTGAGCTGGGGGTTTCCACCCATCAAACACACCCAGAGCTGGTTTTCTTGTAGCGTTTACACACAAAAATCAGCAGATTTAACACTCCCAGTACAGTGACTGGTCAGCAATTTACATGTGATTACAATATCTGCATATGATTATAACATCTGCATATGATCACAGTATCTGCTGCTTCATTCCCGGGTGAGGGTCCTCGCCTGGGCAGGGGTCTCTCTGACCCGTGGGTGGGTGTTTCAGTTCACCTCAGGACACCTCGTTCTCTACTTTCCACGCTGAGTCTGAGATTAAATCAGGGACAACTTAATTAGGTCCCTTATTTCGGGAGACAAGACATTCCCCGTGTCCCTGTGTCCGTGTTCTAGGGATGTTTAACCCACAGACTCTCAGAAATGGTCTCTTTGATCCAGTTTTGGATGACCAGTCTCGTTATTTCGCTGTTATCAGCTGGGTTATTAATTAACGAACGCGTGTAACGCAGATTCACTCGGTGGTGCCGCCGCAGGGGCCCATCCTGCCGGGTCCTGTGCAGAACCAGACCTGTTTGAGCAGTGGCCGTGTGCTGGGCGCTGCTCGGCCATGGGTGGCTCTGGAGCACGGGACACGGGTGGGATGTGGGGGTTTTGCAGGGCTGGGTGTGTTTGTTGGCCAGTGTCTCCATGAGCTCAGACATCCTCATGGGTTGGGGTCCCCATTCCCTGCACAGCAGCCGTGGGGCTCCTCGAGCGGTGCTGGCTCTGCAGCCTGGGTCATGAGGAGGGGCCTGTTCAGCCTTGGGAAGAGAAGGCTCAGGGGGGACCTCATCTCCACAGACCAGGACAGAAGGGGTGGCACCAAGAGATGGAGACTCCCTTTAATAAGGGGAAAAGATGAGGGGCAGTGAACACAAAGTGCTGCTGGGGAGATCCCCATTGAACTGCAGGAGATTTTACCATGAGATCAATCAGACATGGGAATAATCTATGAGATATTAGGACAATCCATCAATGAGACATTGGGATAATCCATCAATGGGACATTGGGATAATCCATCAATGGGATATTGGGATAACCTATCAATGGGATATTGGAATAATCTATCAATGAGATATTGGAATAATCTATATATGGGATATTGGGATAATCCATCAATGAGACATTGGGATAATCCATCAATGGGATATTGGCATAACCTATCGATGAAATATTGGGATAATCCATCAATGAGACATTGGGATAATCCATCAATGGGATATTGGGATAATCCATCAATGGGACATTGGGATAATCCATCAATGGGACATTGGGACAATCCATCAATGAGACATTGGGATAATCCATCAATGGGATATTGGGATAATCCATCAATGAGACATTGGGATAATCCATCAATGGGATATTGGGATAATCTATCAATGAGACATTGGAATAATCTATCAATGAGATATTGGAATAAGCTATCAATGAGATACTGGAATAATCCATCAATCAGATATTGGAATAATCTATCCATGGGATATTGGGATAATCCATCAATGGGATATTGGGATAATCTCCCAGGGAAGTGGTGAATTCCCCTACGCTGCTCAGTTTTAGGAGTCATCTTGACAGGGGCTGACCCATCTCATTTAAACCATGTTTCACCTGGAGAGGTTGGGTTGGAAGATCCTTGTGGTCCCTTCAACCTGGTACTTTATGATCCTGTTCTGTTCTATGGTCAGGATCCATTGCTCAGTCCTGAAACCGTTCAGCCTCGTGCCCTGGAAGAGCCAGGGGCGGCTCTGGGAGCCAAAACCGGGCCCCTCTTTTGGTCCCACGGCGCTGCAGGGTGACCCCAGGGCGGCCCAAGGGCTCGGGGGCTGAGGTGGTGCTGGGTGCTTGCAGGTGGACGCAGCCCTGGGCGCTGAAGAGATGGTGGAGACGCTGACAGAGAGGAACCTGGACCTGGAGGAGAAGGTCCGGGAGCTGCGGGAGACGGTCGGGGACCTGGTAAGAGGAACAGGGCAGGGCTGGCACGGGAGGGCTCCTGGGGGCCACCCGAAACACCGGTTTTTGGGGAACCCAGCTTTGCGCTGGGTGCTGCTCCGGAGCGGTGCCCTCCTGCTCTGATCTGACATCATATTCACATCCCCTTACCCCTGGGGTGCCCCGCTCCGAAAACCCCCAACCGCCCTGGCCTGCCCGGCTGTGCCGTAACCGCGTCCGTGCCCCCTCCTCACCAGGAAGCCATGAACGAGATGAACGACGAGCTGCAGGAGAACGCGCGCGAGACGGAGCTGGAGCTGCGGGAGCAGCTGGACCTGGGGAC